TAACTTTATAATTAGAGCAACTCTTTCAGAAAAAATCTAAAAAATCTGAAAAAAATATATATTAAACTACAACTAATAAACTTTATTTTAATGTAAAAATAAAAATTATTTCTTATTAAAATTATAAATTTTAATATAGAGAGAAAATTTTAATTTTCATTATATTTTATTAGTAAATTTAGCCTCTGAGTCATTACTTTTGATTACCACTATATTTAATTAATTTATTTAGATTTTATAATTTCATATATTAATTATAATTAATATATAATTATAATTAATAATAAAAAGAAATAAATATTTATTTAATTAAAAATAAAATAATATAATAGTAGTTTTATAAATGAATAATAAAAATATAATAAATTTAAAAATAAATTTATTCAAATAAATTTAAATAAAAATATTTTTAAATTAATAAAAAAGTAATTAAAAATATATTTATATTATTATTTAATAATTAAAAGATCTTGTTATTTAAAATAAAAATAATTATTTAATTCTAATTCAAATTTTAAATTTTAAATTAATTAAAATTTTAAAATTTGCAAATTTAAAATTAAATATTTAAAAAAATAAATATTTTGAAAGTTTAAGATTATTAATAATTATTTTCTTAATATAATAAAGACTGTATTATTATATTTTTTATATTAAAAGAAAATTTTTGATATTGTAAAAATTTATATAATTTAATAAATTAAATATATTAAGAATTATCAATATTTATTATAGTATTTCTTATATTTATTTAGAATCTTTTTATTTTGAGTTAATTTAAAACTTTTTTTATAATTAATTATTAATCAAATATTATTATATTTTTTATTTTTAGTAATAGTTTATTAAAAAGTTTTAATTTATTTTCAATTTATATTTTTAAATTAAAAGTTCTTCTCAATAAATTTTAATAAAAAAAATTAAATCATGTCTGATAGCTAATAAATTTGAGTACTTAGCTATTCTTATTGAATCTCTTATATAAGTTTTTCTTGGCTTTTTCAACTTAATAATTTTGATTTGCTTAAATATATTAATATTTTGATTTATTATTTTGTTTTGATAATGTTAGCTTCTGATATAGTTATTTTATTTTTAATTTATTATTACTATCAATAAGAGATATTTCAATTATTTCCCATTATATACAATCATCCCTCTATAAGAACACAATGGACCAGAAAATTTAGTTCTTAGAGGTTTGTTCTTTCAAAAAGATGCTTTTTAGTATATATACACTACACTCATTCAATGGTTCTTAAAATCCAATTCTTATAGAGGTTGTTATTATATGTTGTGTTCTAAAAAAAAAGTTTGATTCTAATTTGATTTTTGTCAAAACTCTAGTGAATTTTTCAAATTCTTCATAATTTGACACTGTACGCTATCCCTCGTAATAAGTAATCCGAATTTGAAAATAATAGATTTTTCAAAACATTACTAAATATATTAATTTTTTCTTAATTTATTTCTGACTTTTCATATTTTTTTTAGCTTGAATTGATAGAAAAGAATACAAAAGCATAACACTAAAAATTTTGTCTTAAAAAAAAATGGTACAAGCCGAGAATAATTTACAAAGGATATCGCTTAATTTTGAGTATTTAAAAAGGGGAACTGAATATAAGGGGATTTAATTGGCTAACAACATAAAACTTAAGAGCTAAGCTAGCAGAAATCATTTTTTTGGTATATTTTGTTTTTGCAAACTTTAAAATTTTTTTTGATAATTCACATATTTGCCGATGAATATTAGGTAATAAATACACAATGCTGAAGATTGGTTCGCGATAAACGCCGGCGTTGCGAAAACCTTTTATCACCGTTCTATGAGTGTCAAGTATTCGCTCCCGTTATTCTTACGGTAGCATATGAACATTGAAGAAAGAACTTCAAGAAAGGAGTTCAATTTGCAGTTAGGAGAATATAATCGTGGCGATGAATATTCACGATTATACAGAGAATAATCTGGATTCGGGTTTTGCTTGAAATTCATTTCGGAAAGGATATGATGAAGTCTTGGTAATTAATGGAACGGATGGCAAGAATCCAAGATGGTTTAATGATGAATTTGAATTTTTCATTCTTGGAAACCAAGAAATTGATGGGCTAATTTGATATTCTTGATTTCGCGAATAGTTTGAATTATTCGTATTAGGAGATAATGGAGAAATTGGAGGTAAAGAGAAGTAAGGAGTAAATGCAGATTTACGAGGTTCATTTATTGAACGTTGATGTTCTATAGAATTAAAGAATGTAATTAATTAATAAAGGAGATAAAATTAGATGTCATTTCATATATATTATTATCATTAATCATTTACCTTTATTATTGAAAACATTTCCATTGTGTTGTTGGTTGAGTGAAAGGGTAGGTTTGATGAGAAAACTATCGTCTAAATTTTTCTGCATCTTATGCGACTGTAAACTTTCTTTCTCTATTTGAGAAAACGAGGGTAGACGTAAACTACGTTCTGTGTTGTTGGTATTTTTGTTATGGGAGTTTATGAATATCGAATGAGTCATCGGTTGTGGTTGTGGTGGTAGGTATGATGGTGATGGTTGTGGTGATTGTTGTTGTTGTTGTTGTTGTTGTTGTTGTTGTTGATGATCAGCTAATCTTTCGGCGCAATAATTTGCAGTGGATTTTTTTGTTTCAACTATCGCATGTAATCCTTTCTTTTGTGGTCCACGTTTTTTTGTTGGCGCAATGAAAATGCATTCAAGCCCAAGTTTAATACATCGCTGACATCTAAAATTTCCAATACATCTCGTTCTTTTCTTACGGCAATTGACACAAGCGGTCGTAGTATTATTGCGTTTAACCGACATTATTTGTTGTCTTATTGGTTTTATTCGTTTCAAAGAAAGTTTATGTCTTTTTGGAAAGTAATTTTCTCGACGACTTTTCTTAAAATAAAGGTCGCAAGAAACCGATACAGAGGAATAAAAAGATAGCTAATTTTCGAGAAAAAGAGGACGAGAGCGAAAAGGAGGAAAATTTATTAGTCCAGAATCGGAGTATACAATATTTATAAAAAAATCCGTTTCAAATAGTCTCAATAAAAAGTTTCGCGTGACACCAAAAGTGAAATGAATGAATGCCATGTGTAATGAATAACAATAACACTCAAAAAACATACGTTAAAAGTATAATAAAAAGGTTCCATGTATTTGCGATAGGTTGGTGGCATCCTTCTCGGCTTAGAAAGATGCATGAATACGTCATCACTATGATTTTTACGGAGAATTTTTCATTTCGTTGCTCGAAAAGGAAAGATTGATTAACAAGAAAGTTTGTATTTTTGGACAATTTAATAATAATCTCTTTCAAACAAGATATTTAATATAAAATCGAATAATGCAGGTATACATTCCAGTCCGCATCGATCAAAAATCTAATTATTCAACTCTGAAGTTAACTTGGAATTCGTGAGACAAGAAAATAGATGCTGACAACTGTGTAGATCTTTACCCCGGTGGCAAGTAACCGACACGATCTAAAAGATAATAATCCAATCCAGTATTTAGCGAGGTTTTTTATTTAGTTAATAGCCGGAAAAATTAATAGAACTTTGTATAAAAAGAAGCGGTATGATGAAATAATCAGGGGCAACGCTTTATGCAAAGTGACACGAAACGACCGAAAAGATCCTTCTTCCTCATATATTAGTATAAAACTCGACGAAAAAATTAACCATTTTCAGGGAAACATAAACATAAAAGCAAAAATGGGAACACTGAAGAGTTGTGTTTTTTCCCAGTCTGTCTTTATGACATTTATGCGTGGATGTATCGAAAAATTAACTAGATTAAAAAAGTGCCACTGAAGAATCTTATCTTCGCGAAAAACGCCACCAAATTTTTCCATTATTGGTTTAAAAAATTATGCTTGAGCTAAACAAATAGTTTTAAAAATCTGATTGTTCTTTATCATTATCCATTATCGTTATGTTTATTTTTATAAAAAAAAAATGACATTCTACTTGTTTTTTGTATGAATTCTCCTTTTTACAATAATGCATTTTTAGTGCTCCCTTTCGGGAGTTTATGTAAAATGTAAGACCAAATGATACGTCATGTGTAAAAATAAAATTTCTTTCATACTAGTTATATACTGTTTTTTCATAAATGAAATTCAACTATTTGGAATAGTCGCACGATTTATAGAATGTCGATATGAAATTTTTTATTGTTATTGACAATACCTTTTTAAATCATAGAAGTTAATCCCGTTCAAAAATTTCCTAATACTATCTTTTTAAAGAGAGAGAGCTGCAGCACATTATCATTATAATCATTCTAAATCACTAATTGACTCGAAAATTCTGATAACACAAAAAAGCCCCGATAGATAGTTTTAGAGTTTCACATACAAGAGATTGTCGTCGTATTTTTAATTCTCTCTGTCAATAGCAACGACTGAGTAACCTATTAGTGTTTCACTAATGACGTCTTTACATTTTCCATTTAGACGTTCATAGAGAGTAATTTTTTTTAAGATGGTGAATCTAGATAGGATCGGAACTCTTCCCGTTTTACCCCGAATGGGCAAAGTTCAAAATATTTGCTAACGAAAAGAAATACAAAAATTCAGATTTCATTAAGGGAAAGAATTCAAAATTAAAAAAACCGCATTGTTTATCATAATTATGGTTAAGCTTGAAACAGTGAACAATGAAATCTAAAGAAAATTCCTATTTGTATTACTATTATCTAAGAATCAACTACCAGTCTTGATTGTATAAGCAAATTTTTCAGGTTCCCGAGTTCCTTAATCATTGGATTGGCAAATATTTTTAGAGGATAATCTTGAAAGGATTAACTTTATGCAGTAAAGTGACGTATTTAGTTTGTCACTAATTTTCAAAAAAGGCCAATTGTTTTCGATTGTGAGAATATTTTTGTGGAGATTGAGGAAAATTATTAATTGACACAAACAAATAAATGCATCTCGCTATTTAAATAATTTTTGATAGAGATTTTTCAACCCTTTGGTAAATCTTTTATATGCCGAATATACTTTTTTACTCTAAAGAGGGTTCTTCCTATTCGGAATCTTGTTTCATGATCGAACTGTGCTTTTGCAGTCATGCATTATGTAAATACTGAATAACAAAGCAAGAGGTTGGTTGTGCTACTTCGTAATAATATCAAGTGTAAGCCTACCAAAATTGGTTCAGTCATGGGCTCGATTTAGCATTAAAATTCATAGCACTGTTAAAAATTTTACTGGTCTGTTTAAGAGATTCAATTTTTTTTTGTAAGCGATCAATATGATTTAATATATGATATTAGTATATTTATGAGACGATAAATATTTAATTTATGCGGATAAATATTTGGCTGGCATGCGTACTTTCAGATTAGAAAGTATCATTTTGCAATCCAACATCATTGAAGAATATCCTAAAGAGATGGCGTAAAGTTATCGTAGATGCAGTAATACAGTAAACATCCCTTAATGCACCCCTAGGGACTATAACATCATTCAGAATACCGTGCAGTTAGGGCGGGAGAGTTTGCATTTATAGAGGATAAATAATTAGAGGGCTTATAAGCTTAGGACTGAGCCGGAGTATGTATTTAGGGATGGTGTACATAGTACTTGCAGTTTTAGATGTTTGTATACGACATAATGTTTTTAAATGCATAATAGGATGAATAGGAGCAAGCGTCTGAAATATATATGAGATGTATCATCAAAGAGAAACATAATAGCCTTTGATGCAATATACATGTAAATTCAGTGCATAGCATTTCAGCCAACTTTTCGTAGCCAATGATTTTTTATAAGATAACGTGACTTAATAGCAAACAAATACTTTATTAATCAAAAAAACTCTTTTCTTCGAAATCCAAACATAACAATTTAATTTCCCTGATCGAAGCATCCATATAGTAAAAAATATCGGAAAAGTATATTGGATTATTACAATTAACTCGTTGTGATGGTCTTAATTTCTTTACATACAAAACAAATTATGCGGCAATTTTGTGATAACAAAACTTATTGAGCACGAACCTGAATTTTTTCTTTGAGAATAAGTGGGTTCTAAAAATTGATTATGTAAGTTTATTCAATTATTCGGAGTGTTCAATAGGATGAGGAGTAAATAAATTGTTGAAATCATTGCCGTATTACCAATGTCTAAAATTCTATTTTTGATTTAGTTGTGGCCCCGCAACCTGTACTTATGGCGGGTTACAAAAATTTAGCCTCGCATGTAAGTATAATATGTGAAATTTTAAAATCTACATGCACATATAAGTTTTTAGTTGCGGAACTTTAAAATCATTTGCGGTCCGCAAGCAGCGCAAGTCAATTTAGACATTGCGCATCACCCGTAAATTTTACTTGGTCATGCAAAGTTTCGCATTTACAAATATGTAATCCTGACAAAAGTATGCTAAACGACCACTTCTAATCAATTTGCTTTCTCAGTGTCGAAACGCCATGAGTATGGTAAATAATCTTCTGACCCAAGCGTCTAAGAAAGAATTGGTAATTATAATATATTCTATATTTAAAAATTAAATACTTTCGCTAAATTCCTTCACAAAGAAAGCAAAAAAAAATATAGCATAGAAATAATTATTTCGATTAGTTAAACATATCTATTTGAAAATATCAATGATCCGCCGCATTCTTATACTTGGGTTAACAAAACCATATGATAAACACCGAAGCATCGAGGTTTGCAAAAATGAATAACCGGTCTGTGATTCGTTAAATCAATAGATATCGATATTGTTATCTTTATAATTGAATTAAGAAACTGATTGTTTTTAATAACATACCAATTTGCCAAGATACGCTGGATTACCTGAGATTCAAAATCTTTGAATTGTATCAACAAATTTAAATTGATGTCGTACTTCAACTCTTGGCAATATTATGATTTCTGGTTTATTTTTGTTTGCCATTAAATAATGTTTCGAATGCACTATGTTCTAGTTTATTCTGCACTTTTCGTAAATAATTCATCTCGATATATATATATATATGTATTAATCTGCACCATAAACCTTTATTTTGAACTTCAGTGTTGCTCGTAATTAATAATTTGAGATCTGGGATGCTCTTTTTGTCTCGTACGTTATTATTTGCATCAAAAACTTCCAAAGAAATTGCATGAGTCAAATGTTTTATCTTGTGCCTCAAAAGTAGGATAACATCTAGCACAAATTAGATAAATTACTAAACTTATGGAATGCCAAAAAAGCTTTGAATGTATCGACGTCATTTTTCTTCAAAAGTATAAGCATTCTTGCACTTTAATAGCGATAGATGTCATTATTTGATCATCGTGCAAGATAAATAATGTAGTATGACCATGTGAAGCATAAACTTTACAGAATACGTATAAATCCCTTTCGCATAACGACAACAATTCTAACCACATCATCGCATTTGTTTTCTTTTTTTTTTGGTTTTTGAGAAATGTTTTCTTCTTCAGCGCTTAAAAAGAAGAAAAATTCTCCTTCCCTCTCAAAAGATGATTTCAATATTCTTGATTCTTATATAACAATCGAAGGACGAAAATATCATAATATCGATGGATTAGGATATCCATTACCTTGCGATGAATCCGAAGCTTCTCGTTTAATTATCCTTCACTTTATTTTTCGCTTAATCTTTGGTGGAAATTTTTCGTCTCCTGTTTCAGATTTATTATCAGCAGGAGGGATGACAGTTTTAGATATTGGGTAAAATTTAATGACTATATGCTTTATGTGAAAAATAAAATCTATAATAGATATGTCTTTATTTTATTAGCTGTGGACCCGGCGCGTGGGTGTCGGAGAACTGCAAAAACTATCCGAAATCAACATTTATTGGGCTCGATATCATTTCGGCTAATTTTCCTTCTGAAAAATTTCCCAACGCGGCGTTTATACAATGCAATGTGTTAGACGGCATACCTTTCCCTGCGAATACTTTTGATTTTATTCATCAACGTGGTCTTTTACGTGCTTTTACGTCAAAAGACTGGCGTAACGTGATTGATGAAATTTGTAGAGTTCTTAAGCTGGGAGGACGAGTCGAATTCTTAGAGAAGGACTTGAAGTTTATTAACATGGGACCAATTATGAAAACATTTTCGGATGCAAGTAAGCCAAATTATTCATGCTGCGATTTCAACCTTGGAACTTTTATTAAGTGAATTCCAAATACTCAGTGTTTATGGAATCTGCGGAAAATGACATAAATCCATATGTCATACATAAACTGGATGAATTTCTGAAAGATACTGGGAAAATCGAAAATATTGAGACTATCGAAAAAATAGCTCCTATAGGAAGTTGGGGAGGCAGACTTGGAGAATTGGTAATTTATTCAACCAATATCGTGATTTTTAGCATGCACTAATAATTTATGGTTGGAATTTTAGATTTTTCGAAATCTGTTTAACTCATTAAATGGATTACGCGGAAAACTATTGCCAATTTTGGATATAAGCATAGAAAAATATGATTCTTTATTAAATCAACTTGAGGAAGACGTGAATAAAAACCACACTAGTTATAGATTAGTACGAATTTTTGGACAAAAAAAATTGGATCATGCAGCTTATCAAATTAACCCGTAACGATAACTGCAGGTTTCATTGATTTCATTAATGCGGTATCCAAACGAAAACATAATGGGTGGAAATCTAAAAATTTTATACGCATACATAGACAATTGATTTTGATTTTCCCATTTATAGTTCTCATCAAAGAGAGCATTGTATCCTTTTGTGGATATTGGGAAGTGTGATCATCCAACGCGGTGTTCATTTGAGAGTTTGTATAGGAAGAAGTAGTTTGGACGCATCTTCAGGTATATGATTTTCCATAAAAAAAAATAAAAGTTGTGGTTGAATAAACAAAGGAACTTGTAACCTATTTTACTTCTAATCCCAATATTTTCGACCATGTTAAATGTATTGCGCGATGCTCATTCTTTGCACAAATAATGCTAACAACGTTTGAAGACGGTAGCCTTATAAAGATTAAGCAATCCTTTATCGTTATCAAATTACATGTAGCACTAAATTATTTCGTCCTTGGTTTGATATCGATTATGCGGATCGGACCGAGATCGATATAGTCGACCTACTAATATTTTTCACTACCGATCTTACCCATTTAAAGTTCGATTCCCGCACCACATCGATATACCGAATTTTTTATTACCTAGTTCGGGTTATCGAACCAAATGCATGAATATGTAATAATTTGTGGCGGGTCGATAATGATTATGCGAATTAACACTTCAAATATCCGGAATGAAAGTCGCATGAATGCTGTTATCAGTAGAAACAACTTAATTCAGAATATAATATAATCTGTTGAAAACTCCTCATAAAGGAAGAACCAATTACGGTCATGAAAGGAATAAGGGTGGAAATTAGGAATAGTGTGAATTATAGAAAAAAAGAAGATAATTTAAGCTAAATGCGATACGAAATCGCAAAAATCTACGAATGGCTGTATCTACAGTATGCAAACTCTTGGATTGCACGCCAAGCGAAAAAACAACTATTTTTGTATATATTACCTTTAATTATTATGTAATTATGCATCCGTAAATACGAATCGATGATTGAAGGTGCAGACATTAGAACTTTCAAATAAAAGAGCATACTAACTACCCAAATTAAACATGACGAAGTGCTTGCATTGGTGATAAAGAGAAACCGCGAGACAATATTATAAGGAAAATATTTGCCTCACAAACTAGAAAACAATTGGATGCCTAATCAAAATTCCCTAAAAATACATGTATGTACAAATGTACTTTGTATAACATACGTAATCGATAATGCACTAGCAATTTTTTGTCTATCAAGTCATGCGACCCAACTGAAAAGATAACACACATAACTTGTTTACACAAATTAAATCTACGTATTCTAATCAAATTAAAAAAATGTCAGATAAAAAAATACCTTTACATGAACAAGTGATAATCGGTTTTCAAGAAGAAAGCAGTGCAATAAAAATTAAGCAAAAAAATGAGGTGAACATTGTAACGGAGAATGGAATAGACAAGCAGCTGTCAATAAAATTAGATAGCTTAGAAACGAATAGTCGTCTGCAAGAGGAAATCATCAAAGTAGAGGACGGTAAAGAAAATGAATCATCAGAAAATCGTATAGTGGCGACCGAAACAATTGAAGTGATCACGAAAAAAATTGTTGATAGTGGAATTGATTTGGAGGGGTTGACTGCGGATGAGATTTTGCAGAAGCTTGGTGGCTATGATGTTGAACGTAGGGGTTATCTTTCTTTTCACTAAAAACTCGGGTGTAAATTTATTCTAATACCAATTCTTGAATATTCTCTAGCGATTACTCGACAACGACAACACAGAGGTAATAATGCTAATAAACATCTAACGTATCTTCAAAAATCCAAAATACTACGAGCGATAGAAGAAGCGAGACTAATTCAAAAAAAGACGCTAGTTGATAATGAGGTTGATGAAAGGGTTTGTGATAAAGAAGTTATTGATAGTTTGCAACAAGAAGATGCAGAAGAAGAAACTCTACCACCTGACATTAGCTCTAGAAATTTTCCTCCCTCGACCATCCTTTTTATTACATTTAATAATTCTGTATTCGTTGATAACCAAGAGCAACTTCAACAAAAGCTCGAACCATTTGGCATTCAACCAATTTTCCAAAATTATCCAGATCATCAAGAGCAGCAAGGGAAGGAAGTCACAAAATTTGTCATAAAATGTGCTATCAATTCCTGGATGGCAAAGAAAAAGTTTTCTATAATAGTTAGCGCGGATCAAGAATACCCCACTTCCATGATCACTGCTTTCTTGGGAGATATTCGATTTTTCTGCGATAAGAATTCAATTGAGATAATTGTTGCGCGTTTTGGTGTGTACAAGGAATCAAGGAAGGATATAGAGACGCGATGTTACTATGCGAAAGCCAACGATACAATTTTCTCGAAGAGTTTAGAGCCGGAAACAACAGAAATTATGAACTTGATCGTTTTGTTTTTGTATAAGGTGAAAAAGATCATTTATTTAATTTTCACATGTCAGATTAAAAGTTTCACTAACTAAATATACATTGCGTTCATTTAAAAGTTTGTCTCAGTCAACGCATCTGAATTCATTATCGACCTTTGTAATGATGCGAAGAATGACCACGTTAATCACGGGTTCTGTAATTGTTACATCGCTTCAACAATGATCGATAATGAAATTTGGTCTAGTGTCGAACATTATGGTGAATTATTCATTACAAATTTTAATTTTAGATTATAGCGATACGATAATATTGATTTGCTAACGCACCAATTATTCAATTGTTAAAGTACAAGCGCAAAGATTCACTGATGCGGAAATTCGCGCTAAAATTCGAAAAGCTCCAACTTCTAATGAAGCACTTTTCATCGTCCAACAGAATCTCGACCTACAACGCACAGATTGGAATGACGAATTTCGTCTACGACTGATCAGACAAGCGGTTTACGAAAAATTTATCCAGCATTCGCCGCTCCGATATAAATTACTTGCCACTTCCGCCAACGAGTTTAAATTGACATATGCTAACTTGTCTAATACTACAAATTGCCACGAAAATGAACGATTGAAAGAATGCGTTGATCTGGCTTCTATGCAAGAATCGGATCTAACTTGGTATAATAATCTATTATTGGAAATTAGAAACCATTTGTTCGAACATGAGGTTAATCCGGTATAGACTTGATATATAACGATAAATACATGTTAATGTAAGCACTTTGCCAAATTGTTTCACGCGATGAATTATTACATTTTAGGACTAACTTATCGTTATCAGCTGAAAAAATTTTAATACTTACATTATCTCACGATTTCTTTGTGATTTAAAAACAATTTAATTATGTATTAAAAAAATTAAAAATAATTTCTATTAAGTATGCGCAAACTTCAGACAATTGTATTTCTTAAAAATTTTACTTAACATAACAAATGATGCCGTTTCTTTGCGTCATACTTAATTGCAATTATCATAATAAAACTTTTTAGGGCAAAACATTTTAAACGTTTATTGTTTGATATTGATTATCCAAAAACAACGATTTTTCTATAAATACAGGAAATTTCCCCTCCTCCAGATACCTCATCAAAGTTTTCTGCCTTCTTCAAGAAAAAGCTTTGATATTCAAAAACAACTTAAAATCTCTTACTCTCAAACCTTTTAAAATGGCAAAATCTGGTCTCTTCTACTGTTTGGTCGGCGTTGCACTCCTCGTCTTGACAACTCCTAGCTACGCAGCACCTGGCCATGTTGCTACTCCCACGGTCGACGCTACTAGTACTAAAAACAATGTTTGCAACGGAAAAGACGACACTTGCAAAGCAACTACCAATAATAAAAATTCTTTCACCAACAGCGGTGGAAAAGGCAGTAACGCGGATCAAGAAAACTTTGACTCTGGCAGCGCGATCATCGGAACAGCTAATACCGCTGTTTGGAAAGATATAGATCAAAAGGTTACTCCAAGTGGTGCTGATGATGGAGAGGATCCTTAATTTTAAATAGTAACACCCATAGGCAAAGGATATAAATATTCAAATTATTCTTTTAGTTTTCTTTTCTTTCGCCCAAGAATTTTTAGGAATGTGGTTGCTTATTGTTTTTGATTATATCCTTATGTATTTTAAAATTTTGTTTCTCGCTAGAATTTCCAGCTAAATAAAATTTTATTAGAATTTTTAACAAATTGTTGCTTTAATTGCATGCTTTGATTTGCTAATTGCTTCTTCTATCAATGGTGAATAAATATTTGAAACATAATCCGGTACAGGTTTTGGAGAATATAATCCATAATTGATTTTATCTAAGCGGCAGAACACAATCAAGCCATGTTTTGGCGAATGTTATTTTTATTTTGAATTAGTGAAGCTATCCACTACAATAACGGACAGCTAGACCGTATAAAATGGTTATTTTTGGTGCTGTAGCATGTTAAATAACATACCGCATCTAAAAACAAAACCGTATCTAAAAGCAAAACGTCGTCGTCGTAAAAACAGCCACTCCAATTAATACAAAAATAAGATTTACAGATAAAAACATCATACATGTAAAAGTTCCATCGTCATTTATTCATTTAATTATCCTTTCAAACTTTCAATCGATTCATATACAGCGGTATTAGTTTTTCTTTTAATATTAAGAACTTATTAAAATCTAACTAGTCTTTGTCGCGTATCTTCTTATCGTTTTTGTATTTGACATATTTAACGTTTAATTTTTTGTCTTTTAATGAAGATGGTTTGAATTTTTTGAAAGAATAACTTTGTTTTATATCTATGATTAAAGCCATCCATTTCAAATTTAACTATAAATAAATGAATACTCGATAGTAACTGATGGATTAAGCAAAAAGATTCTACGAAGAATTGAATGGAACCATAGCATTTAAATAATAGCGTCTTTATCGATGATCTTGAGTAGAACTCACAGAGGGATTGTGCAAATACAGAAAGTTTAATTCGTATTAGCCCAAGGTGTTCAATATTCTAAGAGATGAACGACATTTGTTGAACGAGGTCATGATACAAATAATGCGAGTGAACTTGTTAACTTCTGTTATCCAGAAATCTACAAACAGAGATTTAATACAGTTACACCTCCCTAAGTACACCCCCCTTGGGACCATAGTAAAAAAAATAAAAAGTGTGCATTTAGAGAGGGTGTGCATTTATAGAGGTCAAAATATGTAGAGCTCTTATAAGCTGGGACAGAATATACCGTGCGCTTAGAGAGGAGTTATATAGTACGTGCACCTAGAGAGGTGTAACTGTACTTTGTATTTTCAGCGTTACAGTGAACATTACGAATCATGTGAAGAAAATTAACGAGTATATTAAAACTTGAAACTCGAATGAATTTATGCGCTCGAGATTTTCATGAAACTATAGACTCTTACAATATTTGTAAAATACAGATTGAAGAGATCAATAAAACAAGATACATGTGCATGTACATGAGCAGTGCGTTACTCTCCTCGTTAACGAAAATTTTAATCAATGGGTTAAGGGGTTAGGATGGTGTTATATATATACATGTACATTGTATAAATGTCACATAATTTAAATATCACATGAATTTCAGTTTTAACCGTTATGATAATTGTTACTATTATCGTTATAAGTAAATGTCTTCATTGTCATATTACGTAGTTAAAAAAGAATGGTCACAATCGCACGCGTTGTCATTCTCGTTTAGCATTATTGTGTTCGTTTGCGACATTGTCTCTCCGCTTACATTAGACTGGGTTTTCAACAATATATAAGGAAAATTCTCTGTCAAGGAATATCGACATTATAATTTGTTATCAGCTTCTTTTTCACATGTTAAATTCAATAATTCCGACGCTGAACAATGTAATAATAATATTTAATCTCGAGAAAGTTCTTTGCTTAAAAAATTTCTTGATGAAGAAATTTTTTAAATGATTGCGACATTTAATTATGTCTTTATCTTCTCTGCTAAAAATCACATAACGACAATGTGTAACATATCGAAAAAAAAAAATTTAAGGAAAAATAATAATGAATTTAATCCATTACAATAAAATTCATCCCTTAAATTATGTGAGAACCATGCAACAACATCATAGTTCAGACAGATACTAAACAATTTATTATTTTTAGAAAGAGCGCTTAACTTTCACCGCAATTAATATAAACGGCAGCAAAATTTTTTCTTTAAATAGAGGAGGTTTCTAATCTCTTCGATTCTCATCAAATTCTTCTAACTGTCTTATTAGAAAGATTTGATACTTACAAATAACTTAAACGCCCTTTAACGAATCTCGCTCACTCTCAACAACTATTCGAAATGGCAAAATCCGGTCTCTTATACTTCTTCGTCTTGGTTAGCATCGCTCTCCTCGTATTGGCAATTACTCCTGTCAACCATGCAGTTCCAATTAAAGCGGCCAAATCAGGTGAAGGAGAGGCGAGTAAAGTCCAAAAGAGTAAACAAAGTCAAAACATCTGTGATGGTAATCAAATCAACAAAGACTCCCATGACATTTCTCAACAAGAATGCGCCACTAATGTTGAAGCTAAAGATATTAAGGATAGTAAAGTTGGAAATCTCGACATCAAGGCCTCACAAGACAGTGATCAAAAAGAGGATTGAGGAGGAGATTAGTATATAAAGTCTTAAAAAAATCTAAATATTCGAATTGTTTTTTTTGTTATTCGCCGGAAATTTTTTGAGAATGTGAGCATTTAAATGTATTTAGTTTTTATTATTATTATTTTTTTTTGATTTAGAAATAATGTCCGTAGTTGGATCACATTGTATAAATAATTCTCCGGTTATTAAATAAATATCTTTATACTGACTCTATAAATCTTTCATTGCATTCTTTGTGAATATTGAAAGTATGTTAAATTGATTATTTGAACATCCAGTATAGTTAGACAGTTGGTGATGGTTTGCAGGATAAAGTGGATAATGAGAGGCTGAGACCGATAATATAAATAACAATGGCAGTATTACTTAATAAGGATCCCGATGATTTATAGTGCATTCATGCTTGAATGGGATACACGACGGGTTGATATACTCGATAACCTCGTGAATTTGAAATTTTCATCTTAAAATCAACATCAGTAATTCCAACTGTATGCTATCACTCATCCTTAATGCCTCTACGATGAGCATGACCTCCTCTATTCGAGATCCAACCTCTGTGCCAACTGATCCAATTAATATGTTGTTCAGGAAGAGTGTTTGTGACTTGGCACATTCTAGAAGATGTGATGAGTATTGCAATCCATTAAATTATGAAACAGCTGATGGATCAAAAATGTCCTATTGTGCGAGCCAAATATAGATTTTAAATGCGTATTATTTTTTACCGTTACTGTGTGATAATCATGATTTGGGCGAATAAATGTGTGTTCATTTACTCTTACAGCATTATTTACCAAATCACGCTTCAAAAGCTATACGAGTTTTCATTCCTAATCGAATTAAATATGTAAAGGAGTTTTATAATTCAACAATCATTCTTTACTCCAAATGCAAGGATTCTAAAAGTATATAATTATAGCAACAAGCTTATATACATATCATGAATCAAATAGTATACGGTATACGGCATACTCTATTAATAAAATAATTTGCAGTAAAATAACACCGTTTTTCAAAAAATTATAATGAATTTTATCGCATTTTTTGACGCGCTCAACTCTATCATTTAGTGTATTGAAGTTATATACATTACATAACAATGATGAGAAAGAAAATTGACTAAAAATTTTTTAACTACGTAACAATTTATACAGTCTCTAAATAATATTTTTATAAATCTCTCTGACCGAGAGAGACATTTGGAATCATACGGTGCGGATGGACTTGTGTTTATTACTGGTAACGGTTTGTAGCAAGGTTAAAAGGTGGCATCTTCAGAGATATTGCTTAAAAGATGAGTAATTTATAACCCGTTTATAATGAATCTCAAAGGTTATTATAGTTTTTTTTTGATCGTATTCTCTAATCCTAAGGAGGTAACACGCAAAGTTGGAAAAATATGCAGAATGTTTCGGAATTGTCGTAAATTTTCACCGGTAAACTCGGACAGAATTATTTCTTATAATTGAATTTGATGCAAATATTGAACCAGTGCTCGGTAAATCATATATGTACTGGTAACTATTAAAGGTTTTTTTCAAAGGTTAGGGTTGGGGTTAGAGATAGAACAAAGATTGTATGTAAAATTTTCTTCCCAACATTTTTTTATTAGAGCTTCAAGTAGATTTCGACTGCCTTATTCAAGTTTTTTTTATTTTTTGTTTTCTCGGACTGATTAAAAATTTGCGTGTTGTGATCATGATTCAAATATTCGCGAATTTGACTCTGAGTGATTGATCAACATGTGCATGTACTGTAACTCGGGCCATCGTGATATCATCTAACTGGGTTCCCTTAAAATTCAATGGAACTCTGTAAAAAAGATATCGTAAAAAATGTGGCGTAATCTCAACAAGGCATTACTTAAAATTCTTAAAATTGGATTATTGGTTTTAATAACTTTAATAATTCTCTAAAAATTGTGATTGTTTCAGCTTCATTTTTAATTTGATTACTTTGATATGTACGTGTTTGTGCAAAAATTAACACAGCAGATAATTTAATTTTTCCTTAAAGTATTGGTACATTGTTTTGTCTTCATTCGAGAACAATGGTATTACTATTGGATCACATCTACCGAACTTCGATATTGTCGACCAAAAAGACAAAGTCAAATATACAATGAATGTTTAAAATAAAAAACGTCATTTTTAAATAAAAAAGTCTAGAATTTTTTCTCATATAAAGAAGCTTTGTCAAGAACGATGAGAAAATCATCGCACAATTTCATCTAAAAAACAAAAAGCAACAACCATCCTAAACATTCTTTATAATATTAAAAAGGAATCTTTCATTTTCTCTTATTTTTTCTTTTCCTCTTTTCTTTCAGTAAGCAAACGAAGGTCCACTTCCGTTCAATCATATTCATTTCATTAACTATAAAACTCATAATTCTTTTCATCTAAAATGGTAAAGGAAACGTTATTTATTGTTACTTGTTACCTCGCTTTAGCTATTTGTCTTTTTATGAGTGGCTCAAATATTATATCGGCAGCACCTATCGAGAAACGTTGTCCCACCTGTGATTGTTCTACCAACTGTGATGATGGTAATAATCTGTCGTCAGTCAATTACATTAAAAATGGTGGCGACAATAACGGCAACGGAAACGGAAACGGTAACTCCGGTAGTTTAAACGGGAACCTTAACGGAAACAACAACGAAGGCAGTAACAACGGCAATATTAACGGCAATCAAAATCAAGGTTCCAGAAATGGAAATCTTGATGGAAATTCCAACGGAGTCAAAAATGGTTATGTTCCTTATTACTCTACACAAGGAGAACAATCAAATACAGGATATGTTTCTAGTTCTGGTTCAACTTCATCTGGCAATTCCAATAACCAATACGGTTCTAGCTCTGGTTCAACTTCATCTGGCGATTCCAATAACCAATACGGTTCTAGCTCTGGTTCAACTTCATCTGGCAATTCCAATAACCAATACGGTTCTAGTTCTGGTTCGACTTCATCCAGCAATTCCAATAACCAATACGGTTCTAGCTCTGGTTCGTCTTCATCCAGCAATTCCAATAACCAATACGGTTCTAGCTCTGGTTCGTCTTCATCCAGCAATTCCAATAACCAATATGGTTCTAGCACTGGTTCGTCTTCAGGCAGCGGCGTCGTCGTTTCTAAAGATACTGATACCGATGACAATTCTATCTCCGATAATGGAAAAATTAAAACCGATAAAGATGGGTTGCATTATTCTGTGATAAAACAGAGTGAATACGCATCTTATTCATTTACAAGTAAAGAATCTTTTTATCAAAGCTTAGCTTTAGCCAACTGCAAAAATTCTATCGACTACCTCCTAGTCCAGTTCATGGATGGTACATCTGGAACTTGTGGATGCCACTAAAATATTTCTCATTGTCATCCCTCCTTCATCCTTAGTTTACGAGTGATTAATTCTAAATTAAATTCAGCAATCAAGCATATATAGACTCATTTATTCGTTTAATCATTTATTAAATTAGATGTTTCGTTTGCTTGCTTTTGAAACTGCCTTTTTTTGACTAGAATTCACTATATTCATTCTTTCATTTAGACATCTATTCTGTTCTCGAATATGCCCTCTCTTTCTCTCTTCAGCTCGTCTTTGTTCACATGAATCATGTTAATTTCACGCCCAATAATAATAAAGCATAAAATTTGCCAAATATGATAAACAGTTGTTTTTCTATTATTGTTAACAAATAACTTGAAATAATTTTGTGCAATGAAAAAATATGATTAATAAATACAATTTGATGATAAAATAAAACAAAAAAATCTTTGAGTTAGGTACATGCAATCCCATTCATGTACCGGAACAGTTGCAAAATAACTTTATTAGCTAGTATCCTTATCGAATTGTATCGTTATCTACTGGCGACTTTCAATCTCACATGCAAATATTTTTTATTATTGTGTGTCGATCACACTTGGCGTTTTTTTAAATATTCGAATTAATTAAACAATGGCACCGTCATGTTAAATAGCAATAATTAAGTGACTCGATTGTTTTGCGCGATTTTTTCCTTTCATGTGTTTCTTCCTGTGAAAGTTAAAATGACATGCGAAGATAATTATATACTATTAAGCTTACAATACACAAGGTTTATAAATACCTTAGCTGTTTTGTAAAAAAAAACTTCTTGTAAAAATAAAAATCCTCGATTCTCTTATAAAATAAAAAAGTAAAATGTCTTCTTACGGAACTCTCAAGCAAAAGCATCAAACCTTCCATAATGACTCCTTTGACAAACCAGACACAATTGCCATCACTGCTACAGACCGTTTTCTTGGAAATTCCATCGTTCGGGGTCTTTTACAATTAACTGATCTTACGAGTTCCCGTGATAACCATTTCCTCGATGTTAACGTTGTTGCGCTCTCGTCGTTTCCTAACGATCCGAATCTTAACGAGTTAGCGATCGCTGGTGTTGATATTAAAAAAACCGATTTTGAAGCTCGAGACTCTCTTCAACGAGTTCTTTTTGATGTTGATTTTTTGATCGTGGTCCCGGAAAGCAATATTGATCGTGTCCGAGATGCCGAAGTGTTGGCAAAGGTAAAGAAGACAGTAGAATATATAAAGATTAATGAGTAATTATAATAATGTGTTTAATAGGCTGCAAGAAATCAAGATATCAAAAGTGTCATAGTAGTCTCGATCCAAGGTGCCGACGTAGGTCGAACCCAAACGCATGAAGAGTTCAGACAGATCGAAAAAATTTGGGAGAACGAATTTGAAAGCGTCGTCTTTCTCAGGTGAAATAAAATAATTCCCTTTTACATAGATATCTTCGACTCTCGTAAACTGATCTATTTCTTTTTTCTATTATTTACTGATCGATTTCTCTATTATTTACTAATCAATAAAATATAATAGACTCCCATTCGTTCAACAATTCTTTTTCCTTTTTAGTGATATCATAAAGGAAGAAAGGACACTTCACTTGACACTTGACGAAGAGACAGATGACTTCGCTCTCGTCAATTTCCAAAATGTGATCGAAATCATTCAAACATTAGTTTTCGACAAAAATGGACGATTGCTTCCACAGCTCAGCCGAAAGGATGAACATAGGATTTATAATTTAAACGAGAATTTTTACTCTCCACGGGATATCATCGAGGACTTTAATGAAATAACTGGCAACAGCAACACTATTGATTACAAACAAGTTGATCGTAGTTTCTTGCGGGATCTTTTGAAAACTATCCGCGATGACAAAGCATTTTTCCACAATGACCCCAATACCAGAAGCGAAGAGTTTGATTGTCAGCGTATCTTCTTCAATAAAACTTTTGATCCACGTCAATTCCTTCCTCTCCGAGAGACTGAGATTGATTTCATGTAGATTTTCCCTTTCTATTAATGCATCTATTTATTCATTTTTACTCGAGTTGTTTCCTCTAATACTTCTAATATCACAATTAGTATCCATAGTTTGGAGTTTGCCAGAGATAACAATGAAGCCAGTCGTGTCACTAACGACGTGCAAGAGATTACGCAACAAAGGGCTGTATCTCTTAAACAATTCTTTAGGGTGGGCAAATATTTTGATAATTTCATAGAATTGAATGTTGCAAACAAATGCAATAATAGTAAATTGAAATTTGCGTATCAACTTTTAAAAATAGGAACACTTTTTCGAATTCATTGACGACAGTTTCCATAATAGAACTAGCAGAAATACTCGCCGACAGAGTTTCCAGTTCCATAATCGCAACCGCTTCCAAACGATTTCTGGAAATCGTCGCCGTAGATATCAGTACAGACTATAAAGATTTAAAGCTAGATATTAGCGATGTCATTGTATCCCAATAAAATTATTTTGTTCCAGTATTAGAATTTTAAAATTTACTAAGATCAACCTCGATATTATTTATAGGGGAAAATTTTATTACAATTAAGCTGAAAAACTTTATCGTTATCTTAAGGTGGAATTCTCATAATTGATAATTCTGCATCATCATCATTATTCGGACCAGCACTAAAATAAATTAGCATAGTTCCAGTCAGATTATCGTAATGTCAAATTATAATAGAGCCGACCCGAATTGTCGTAATTATAACGCCGGTAGATAAAAACATTTATTCCATAAAATTGCTTGTCTTTATTATCCACGTGCTTTTCTAATATGTATTAACGTTAAATCAAGAAACAACGAGGCAACCTGAAAGGATTGCGTGTACGTGTAAAAAACTGTATATCAAACAAAAGTCATATTTCAAGGAAAATTGTGAAAGGAATAATATCTTACCATCCATAGACAAAATTTTTTGTCTCATTATATTTATACTCTTTTAATACGTCCGCGCAAAGATTGACTCGAAGGCTAAAAAGCAATTATATTCGAGTTTGGTTAACATTTGAACATTTGATGAAAATTGGTAATTTCACAGTCGAAGTGGTATCGAAATTTTTTGTTTGCCTTTCCGAACTGCTTCCGCAAAGATTCTAAGTTAATTGAATACAGACCTCCTCGTTAAGATTGCAATAGTTTTCTAATGCTGGGTACCTTTTTTTCTGGGGGGCCAAATAATTCCCCCCCCCCCCCCCCCAGCCAGATAAAAAGAACATGCACTATGATATCATCTTTTCTTTCCATCTATGGAAATCAGATAAACTTGCCAGATGATGTTTTTAAATATTTCAAGATTGGATGGTGATATAGCTGATTCGACATTCAGATTGAGAGAAACATCGAGGTTTAAGACTGATGCAGAATCTTTTGCACTCTTAATAATGCATTTTCTTTTATCAAAATCGTCATTTCATACAGGTGAACTCTCTTTCGGGTAGATACCGTAAACGTTTCATCATAAATATCGTATCATCTTTTTCAATGTCTTCATCTATTCTTGGAAGCGGATTCGAAGATTGTGATAATGTTGTACTCTCTTCACTAGTTTTCTTTAATAAAGGACAGGCAATATAACTTCCGAGTTAGATGAAACGCATGTAGACAGAGTCCTGCATGGCATCTATAACGAGACACCATGCATACCTACAGTACAGGGGCGAAAATGTGATAACAACTACATAGCGATTAATAGCAAAATCTGGCTTGCCAGCGATGAATGGCACACGCGACAACCCCAGTTGTGGATGCACTTCATTTCAGCTCAAGTGCTGCGACATGCCGGCAAAGTCATGTCAATTGTGCTTTGCCGATTAATCACTAACAGAGTGTTTTCCCGTGGGTATTTTGGAACCGCCAAAGTTCTCCTTTCCTTTTACTATATTATACAAATTTTTAATATATCATTTCTTATAAAGTTTTTTTAAAAGATATAAATGACATAATAAATGTTAATTAAATAAATAAAAAGAAACTAAACTAAATTTATATGACAAAGAGATAAGAATAATACTAAATAAATAATAAATAATAAAAAAAATGACAATTCATTATGATAAGGTAATCTATAAACATTTAATTCAAAATAAAGCTAGAGTTTCAGAATTGGCTCTTACAGCTCTGGCAGAAAGTAATGGTGATAACACTTTCATGCATATTTTATACAGTGTAGTTATCTGCTAAAATTGGATTAAAGCCTATAAAAATATTGATTTTTAGGATTATGTAATAAATTACATTTTTTTATTTTACTTGATTATCAAAATATTTACTAAATCACACTATTTATTTCTTATAAATAATATATAGCTCTGTAAAATTGAATTATAAAGTTATCAAGTACTTTTGATGCAAAAAGTATTATAATATCATCAAAATAGCTAAAAAATTCATCTTTATTCTATTGAATAATATATATCTTTTCTTTATAAAAATAATAATACAGTCAAATCTTCATAAAAGAACTCTTTATAAAAGAATATCTTCCACTAAGAATACTTTTTTATAGGACCAATTCAGTTTATTAGTTATATAAAATCTTTATAATAGAATATCTTTACAATAGAATAAAATTTAGATATTCTAATTATATTTTTTATAAAGATTTAACTATATTTTAGAATTTATTAATCTAATTATTTGCATAAAACAATATCAAAATATATTGTTAAAATAAAAAAATTTTAGAATTAAATTACTTTTTTACTTTAATCAAAATAAAAATATGACTTGAAAAAATTTATTAAATTTTGAAATTAATAATTAACTTATAAAATTATTTATTTATGATTGTAAGCAAGATAAAATATGAAATAAATAGTTTTAATTTATAAATACTTATGATTTTATTATTTAAATAGTATTCAGATCTAAGATAAAAGTATAAAATAAAAAGATTATATTTGTAAGATTATTTTGTTAATAATTATAAACAAGATAAAATACAAAGTGAATAGTTTTAATTTATAAAACTTATGATTTTTATTATTTGAGAGTATTCAGATCTAAAGTCAATTTACAGAACAGAAAATATATATTTATAAAAAAAGAAATAAATACAAAATATGAATAAATTATAAATAATTAATTTAATAAAAGTATATATGATTGAACAGAATTAATTATCTTAATTTATATTTTTGAATAATAACTAATTATAATTCAATAATTAATAATAATATAAATAATAATAAATAAGAACAAGTAAAATTATAAAAGAATATTTAAAAAGAAATCTAATTAAAAATATTAATTATCTAAATTAATAATATTGATATATATAATAATTATTTGCATATTCAGAATGAAATTAATCTTTAAGAAAAGTAATATAGAAATTAATTTAATACAGATAGTTTAAATAAAGATCTAAACTTAAAGAGAAATAATTCAATCAAAATTATTATATATTTTCCTACTTAAAGTATAATATTCTCATTATATTCAAGTATATAATTTCTTAAAGATATTAATCTTTTTCATAATATTTTTCAAGTTTTCAAGAGATTCCTATACTATATTATAAAAAGAATAGCTAAGTCATTTAACAAAATATTAGGATTTGTAATAATAAATTCTTTTATCAAGAATATTTTCTACTTCATATTCTTTTTTATTATTAAAAATAATAATAACTAGTAGTAATTAATATTTATTATACTAATTATTTGAATTATATTTTAAAAATAATATATAAAATATCAAATAGAGTTTATATTTAATAGTAGTTGTAGTTTATAAATAACTATAATAATTTTGATTGAATTATCTCTCTTTAGCTCAGATCTTTATTTTATACTATCTGTATAACAAATTAACTTCTGTATTATTTTTATAAAGATTAATTTCATTCTGAATATACAGATAATCATTTATATATTTAATATATTAGATTTAATATATTATTATATAAATAATTAATATATATATCTATATTATTAATTTAGATAATTAATATTTTTAATTAGATTTTCTTTTAATAATTTATTTATTTTTTTATTTATTATTTATATTATTATAATTAATTATTCTCTAAAAATACAAATTAAGTTAATTAATTTCGCTAAATTTTATATATTTTAAAATAGAATTTATTATTAATTTATTTAATTTTATATTTATTTCTTTCTGCTATAAATAAGTATTATCTATTCTATAAAATAATTTCAAATCTGAATACTCTTCAAATAATAAAATTATAAGTTTATAAATTAAAACTATTTATATTATATTATATTTTATTTATAATTATTAAAAAAATAATCTTATAACTTGATAGTAGCAGATATAATTATTATAAATATTATTCTTTAATATCTTATATTATATATATACTTTATATATATATCTTAGTTTTAAATTATTAAATTTTAGTAAAAAATGAATTTAGAATAATTTGAATAATTTATGCAAAGCATGACTAAGCTTATCAAAATTATAAAAGAAGATAATTTCTCTGATTCTTAATCTTTATTTTATCTCTTAATAAAATTATTTATCTATTCTGAAGAATCAAATAAAAATATATTTATATAAATAATATAAGTTAAAATAATATCTCTAACTCAAGAAATTATAGATAAAAAGATTCAAGTATAATATATAGTAATCTTTTTAACTAATATAATATTATATTAGTATTTTAATAATATAAAACTAATAATAATATTATATTATTTGAAAGCTAAAAAGTCTTTATTATAATATTTAGAGAAGTCTTCTAGCTATTATATTATTAATAATATCTTTACAAATAACTTTATCTTTTTTATTAAACAAAATTTATACAAGACTATAGCATAAAATTTAGAAATATAGTTGATCAAATCACAGATATAAATAATTTAGATCAAGTCACCTACTTTATATAAGATTTAAAGTCTATTATAAAAATAAAAGTCAGTTATCAGATATTAAAAATATTAGAAGAAGCTTAAAAATTAATTATATATAATATATAGACAAGACAGATTAATAAATTTATTAAGTAAATATAATAATAATAATTATTATTCTCAAAACTAATATAGAAGTCATCAGAATAATAATCCAATATCAATAAAACTTGATCAAGTAAAAAGTTATTATAATAATAGAAAGAATAATAATAATCAAAAGAATAATAAATCTAAAAATTATACTATAATTATAATA